GAAATAATGATAGTTCCCTTTGGAGGACAGGCCAAATCATTAAAGCAGTGAGTGACGTATGGTAGAAGAAGTGGGACACTGACACTAAAGGGAGACACTATTACAGTATACAGAAATCAATTAAGGTGAAGAGCTCCAAAGGGAAAAGAGATGACGTGGTGTTTTCAAGATAAAGGCTTGGACATGGGTTAAAATCAACGCTTTATTTAATGTCAATGTTTGTCTGATAAATGTGAGGCTTGTAATGTTCCCGAAAATGTTGAGCATGTCATCATGAAGTGTAGTAAATATAATTCTGAGAGAAACATCTTACAAGACAAGATATATGAATTAGGACATGGATAGAATTTAGCAGGGATTTTAGGGATGATTGAGGAAACAAGGGAGTGAAGCTCTCTTTCATTTTCTCAAAGCTACACGATTAGATCATAAAATATACTTGTTGTTTTTTGGATGTTGTTGTTCTGGATTGTTTTGTTTGTTTGTTTTGCGTGTTTTGTTTTCTAGTAATTTATTTACTTGGAACCTGTAACCTGCTGAAGTATTAAAGCCCTGGGCACACTCCGGCACATTAGGTGGCGGTATGCACCTGAACTTGTTGGTTGCGATCCGCCACAAAGCCCAGAGAAGAAGAAGAAGAAGAAGAAGAAAAAGAAAAAGAAGAAGAAGAAGTTTGAGAAGAGGAGCGCCATTCTTAACTGTTTATGGGAGCGCCCCCGACAAATCTCGCGAGGATCAAGACAAGCTTTACGGCAACGATGTCACACTCAACAACAACAACAACAGCAACATATGAAGCAAGAAAACACTTGCACGCATATCAGGCTTATTTGATGATGGAAAAAGGTAAGAAAAATCGGTCGGAAGAAACTATGGAAAGGAAAAGAGAATCTGACCGAGTGAGGAACCGGACAAGAGTCCCACTCGGTCGGGCTTTCACTCGTTGGCGCGAGCTAAAAAGCAGCACTGGATGCAACAGCGATGCCGACCTGGCGACCTTGTTGATGGACTAGTAAGTAAATATCTTATTTCTAATCTTGTTTGCGTTCTATGTTGTTGCGCTTGCTTGTAGTAGGCTATTTCGATTCTTTACGATGCTGTTCATTCATCCATTGTTGATAATTAGACCAGTCCAATAAATTCCACGTCTTGTAAGTTACAATTTGCACATAAATATTGGAAATTTACGAAGACAGGGGATTAGCTTACTTTTAAGATCACATCAGAATTATAGAATGTGGGGTTTCTTTTTATCATAGGCTACAGTTTTCTGTCAAATTAATTTGAACTGAAAGTCTCAAAAGACATAACTCAGGTATTAGCCTATCTTATATGCATCACACAACATATTCCTTTCTCCCACCAATTTACATAAAAAAAGAATTGTTCCTAAATACCTAATATCTAGGCCAGGGGTCACCAAACTAAGGCCTGGGCCAACTCAGGCCCGCCCATGCCCATCAGCCCCCCACTAAAACTGCCCTATGTGGCAATCCCCCAAAAGTCGTCATAGCCTTTTTTTTAACTGCTTTTTAGAAAATAATAACATGTCTGCGTCTGGTTTTTTGTTGATTTTTTTTTTCTGTTAAAAACTATATTTATTTATAAAATAAACTATATTTGCCAAATTCGTCACCCAACATGCTCAAGATCAAGCAGTGACATGCACACGGAACAGTCAGTGTTCAGGACAGCAAAATGTCTAATGTTAAGCGAAAAGTTGATAGAGAGTGCAGAGTTTTCAAAGAACAGTGGACCAACTATTATTTTTTTGTTCAGTGTAAGGACCGTGCAGTTTGTATTATTTCAAAAGAAAGTGTGGCAGTTTTCAAAGAATATAATCTGTGTCGTCACCACTAAATCTGCCCCAAAGAGTATGCTAGCTTGTGAGGGCAAGCAAGAGAAGACAGGATTCAGAAGATGAAAGGCGGACTGGCTGCACAACAGAATGTATTCTTTCGCCAAACTCGGAATCAAGTGTTGAGTAGTACGTGGATATAGTAGTGGGGATGGTTGTGCCAGGATAGTAACACAAGGCCTGCTGGTGGTCATTTTTGTCTGGGTCATACAATTCTATGTTATATATCTATCCCCCCATCACAGTCAGGAAAGATATGTGGCCCCCAGAGAAAAAATATTTGATGACCCCTGATCTAGGCTATACTTCCACAAAGGGTTGCTGTGGGGACTGACATTATGCAAATAGATAATTTTCCAGTTAAAGGTATGGACCACTTGCACTGGACGCACTTCCGTTTGGAAACAATACATATCACTTATTTCTTATGTTTACTTTCAATGTAGCCTACTGCGGTCAATTAGTTGAACACCACCTAAAATGAGTGTCTGTGATAAGATTTTATATTTTGGACATTTTTATTGACAGAAGAAGTGATATTCTGATGTTTACCGTGTGCAGAATTTTCAAAACTCATCGGAACATAAAGTTTAAATCCAAACCAAGCCAATTAGAGAAAGCTGCGACTGTTAAAAGTAAGCCATTATTTCACCACAGGGTGTCAGTGTTCGTCTACACTTGTGACCGCGACCCTGAATTGTGTGAGAGATAAATAACATCAGTATGACATTTATTTATTTGGATTAAATATTGTAATAACCTTGTGATCATTCATTCATTCATTCATTCATTCAACTATTTTAAAAAGACAGGAATAAAGCACCAATGCACACAAGAAATACTTTTATTAGTCAAATTCATTAAAAAATGTAAACTCAAGTATAGAATATAAGTAGGCTATGAAAAATTCTGTTAATGAGAAGCCATAAGGCTGCTGCAGGTTAGTGGATATTAAGCCTATTTATTATTCAGGAACAGTTGGAAAGAAAATATATTTATAGGAACATTTTAGCAAGCTCAAGATAATTAATACAGAGATCAGATCATTATTTATTGTTTTAATCAATTGGCATCCATAAAGTGTAGTGATAATCTGCATTCTCATGTATGGACGTGCAATGAACCGAAACTCCTGATATGTAATCTTTTTTTTTTTTTATTATTATTATTATTATTATTGAATCGTATATCAAACATAAAACAAGGCACATCACAATCATATTCAGTCAATCTTACAACATGAATTGAACATGGAGTACAACATTGTAACAAAAAGACTCAGCAGTAGACACTTGGGAATAAGTATTCATGAAAAATTAGGGCTTTTTTGTTTTGCAACATTTTAGGGATTGTTTATACAGAATTATATCATTTAGAAAGGCATTAAAAACAGGGGATGTATTAGGAAATCGACATTTGTGTATGAAACATTTGGCCATTAAAATCAGATTATTCAATCCAAACTCAGTTGTTCTGTTCACCATTATTTTGTGTATTGTACATGTAAGAAGTAGAACGCAGAAGTAGAACTTCTAAAGTAGTACAACTTTGTGCAAGTAGTCCATAGGAGGATTTTATTTTCCGGGTGGGTAGCCGATACTATTGGTCCACCTAAGAGTCATTTATTCTGGTGATATGTTTACGTAAGGCCGTCGAACGTGCTCGTCCCTCTGTGGTTTTGCTTTCTGCGCATGCGCACTTTTAGGTGTATTATGTGTGATGAGTTACGGTTTCAGCCATTTGTTTGAAAATGGCAGAGGGTCGAAAGAGAAAAAATGTATACGAAGTGTATGATAAGAAGAGAAAGGCCGCAGAAAATAGAAACAAGACCAGAGTGATTTTGGGTGAATATTTCACACGCTGGCGTGCGCTAAAAGCACAGGTTGGGCTTCCCACTGATGCCGCAGTCGCGAAGATTCTCCTAGACAGGTAAAGTTTGTCATGCTATTTGGAGAAATCCATTTAAAATCACTGCTAGTAAAAGTTAATAAGCTATGATTAGCGATGCTGTCCTGGCACAAGTCATGCACCGCGTAGACAAGGTAAACATCTCAAAATCAGTCAATAATAGAAATGTCTCTTGAGACCACAACTTCAAATAAGATTTACACGTATCTAGATTATTTCAGATGTTGAGGTTATTACGTGAGGTATTATCCTTTGTAATGTGTATTTAACAGTATCTTTAACAGGAATATTGTAAAAAGTGAACTATTACCTATTCATAACTTTACTCCATTTAATTTTAAATCCATCCCCCTCTCGCGCGTGTCCCCTTCGTGCGTATTCTCAAAGCTCGTGACCCTGTCACAGTAAAGTGCAAGTCGCCCTCTATGAAGTCGCCCCGGTACACAGAGAGAGAGAGTGAGAGAAAGAGTGTGTGTGTGTGTGTGTGTGTGCAAGCTGCTTCTGATTGGAGAATGGCAGACAAGACACCAGCACGGAAAAGGAAATCGATATTTGAGAGAGCAATCGCAAACAAAACGGCTGAAAGACTAAACGCAAAAACAAGGGTCATTCTAGGCGATGCTTTTCAACGTTGGCGGCAACTGAAGGACCGGGAAGGACTACCAACAGATGCAGCTGTGGCTTCATTTCTGCTCGACAGGTGAGAAGCCGATGAACTAGTAGTATTTATTTACCATAGATATCCATATATCTTTGGTATTTACTACTAAAGTAATCACGGAACCGGCTTATTGCATCTGAGTTTTCGCTCGTGCATGATTGCGCGTCCATGTTGGGAGGAGAGAAGGACCTTTTGAATTGTGTATTTTCAAAATCTGCCGGTGTGGTGATGAGGAGAGGAGAGTACGGTCTTTGGTCCTACCAAAACCAAAACTTTCGTTTACTATGACCAAAACCCGTCCTACTGAAGAGATCAGTCCGGTCCGAGCTAAGGACCCAAGCAACCCGATTGGTTCAAAGCACTTTTTATGGGTAATCGCTTTGGTGCCTGGTTAAAAATCATACAAAATCACTTAATTATAGAAGACGTTTGAACTACGTTATACCAAGTCATTAATGTATTTTAAAGTATGTTTAATATAACCGAAGCTATAGATTGTGAAATTGAACGTTTCTCGTTGTTAGTGTTTGTTTTATTAGCTTAGTAGCATTTAGCATACAGCTATCCAATGATGGTGCGATCCACAGGGTGCTTGCTGAGCTTTTCCGTATTCACAGCGATTCATAATGCAATTATACTTATGTAATTAATTTTAGCATAATACTCATCGCAATATGTTACAGGTGCACTTTTTAAATTAAAAGAAACACAAATTAATGTTTACATAATGTATATTACTATTTTTGTGTTTATAAATTTCATTCGGGACGAAAGAAATGATTTGCTGGGGCGACTCACTGTCACTCTCACTTGCTACCATGGATACCACCTCTGCTGATAGGCGCAGCCCTAATGCGCGCACCCGTTTGAAGAGGCACGAAAGCTAGTGCAATTATGGCAGAGATGGAACAGTCCGAATTCTCAGAACCTGCATATAGAGTCAGCAGATTAAAAAAAGGAAGACAGTATTTGAAAAGGCTATGAACAAAAAGTCTTTGGATAAATCAAGAAATCAAACGAGAGTCAATATCGGCATGGCTTTCCAGCGATGGCGACAACTGAGGGATCTCAAGGGGCTGAAAAGTGACTCCATGATGGCTTTATTTCTGCTGGACAGGTAATCTTGCTGTTTTCATATAGACCATTTCACAAGATGTAAACAACACTGGTCCAGAAACACTTTCTGTTTCAGTTTGTAACTGTTTTCTTTATTTCACATGTAAAGAAAACATCTTAAAGATGTTTGTTTAACTTTTTGATTCAGTTTTAAATGTTCTGTTGGTTGTATTTTATCCCAGCTTTTATGTAGTGTTAAAAAACTGAAACAGGAAGTGCTTCTGGACCAGTGTTGTTTACATCTTGTGAAATGGTCTATAGATGGCATTTATTTTTTCATGAACCATGTAATGCTAGCCTGGTGCTTGAGGCCCGAGACCACTGGCTCGGCTCGCTGTTAGCCCTAGCCCGGCAGTGGAAACGCGGCTAATGTAATTTTGGTGTTGACTAGTATAACATTACTGTTATTGAGCTTGGGCTGAGACGATAAATAATCAAAAGGCCTATCTGCAGTTGAAAGCGGTTTTGTTTCATTTTGCCAAATCTAACTTTAGTTTAAAAAGTTTAGGGGATCTATTGAGAATGAGGAGTCACGTGCCTATTTGGGCGGGGTCTGAGCCGGTCGGCCATGATGGTAGGAGATGCTATCGGTTACCAGCGGCAACGCCTTTAGAACCCATAGACGCGACTAAACATTCCAGAGCTCTTAAATTTTCGCGCATTTATTATTTTGGAAGGACAAAGACGGATCTAAGAATACGAGAAAAAAAGGAAGAAAGTTAAGCTATGCTAAAAGATAAGGCGAAAGAAAAGGGACCTTACAGGAACAAACTCACACAAAGTGCAAAACAGCTGTATTTGGAGAAGCAGCATCAATATATTTGTTCTTTTCCACTAATAACAGTATTATTATTTTATTATTATTACTTATGTTGTCTATGAAACTTATGTTGTCCAAATAGCCTATATATTTCAGTTCTCAATAAATATTGTTAAGCCATATCAAGTTCTTTCAAACATTTATTTCAATGAAATAAAAAAGTAATGAACAAGGCACTCAAACAACACTTTTGCATATGTTCGTTAAGGCACACCAAACAGTGAAAATCGTATACTAAAGGCAGCAGCAAACTCAAACCCAGCAATCTCCTCGTCAGATCAGACTCTCCCTGCTGTGTCAATTTCGGTAACCCCAAAAACTGTATTCCATTGTTCCTATGTTTTCCATATGTATCGTGTGAGTTACTGGAGGAGTTTTTAACGCAGCAGTTACTTCCAGGCATGGTAAAACAGTGCGGTATTGCCCATCCCCACCCCCACGTATAATGGCTACGCCCCTGGTTTCCAGTACAGATTCAGAACCCATATGTTGCTCAATGCGCATGCGCGGGTGATACTACAAAATGAACGAATCACTCTCGGAGGCAACTCGGTAGTCCCGAGTCATTTTAAAGATTGGTTCAAAATGAACGAGCGACCCCTGCTTGCGCCTACTCTAAAGGTTGGACGAAAAAGAAAGTCTGTACAGGAAAGAGCAGAGGTTAAGAGAAAATGTGAAGAACGCCGGAATTTAAGTAGAATAAATATAGGGTCCACCATTGACCGGTGGAGGAAGCTTCAGGGAGATCTGGGACTGAAAACCGACGCTGAAACGGCTGACTTTTTGTTGAGCAGGTAAACATTTATTTATACTTTTATCGTGTGACATGTTACATAAATAGCTTTTTATCAGTCTGACGACATGCTCATGTTAGCCGTTTAGCATCGCCGATCACGGGTCAAAGTAATTATATTTCTTGAAGTGCTTGAATGTATTTCAGTATGCCTTTTTGTTCGAGCCGAGTTTCCGAATTTGAACAAGATGCGCTGTGTGCTGCTATATCAATTACTCAAAACCTTAGCAATACTAGTATTATAATAATGGTAGTGGGGAGTTTAGAACATTTCATGTGTTGCTAAGTACAGAGGGGAGGGGTGTGTGTGTGTGTGTGTGAGGGGCTGGATGAGTTTTTAAAGCTTCCCAACCGTCTCAGGCTTTCTCGACCGATTTTTGAACATCGTAGACTATAGCTTTAACATCTGAGCCGAAATAAAAAAGGACACGCCACGCAGACTGTGTGTCTCCGGCCTTTTACAATCACATGCACGCGCCTGAAGTTTGCACAGCATCGAAAGGGGATGATGGCGGAAAGAGCTAGGGGGTCAAAAACAAAACGAGGAAAGAGAACACGTGCTGAAAAAGAAGAGGTAAAGAAAGAAGGCGACCGTGCCCGTAATAAAACCAGGATTAACATCGGATCGGCATTTGAAAGGTGGAGAGTTTTACGCGAATTAATCGGGTTCAGGCTGGATGCAGAGCTTGCAACATTTCTTCTCGACAGGTAACGTTAATTGTGCTTTATCAACAAGTTACTTTATTTCTTATTGTTATGTTAGTAGTAATCTAAGTATGTTTGCCCAAATGTGTTGGTATGGATAGCTAACGTTACGTTAGCATTTGTTGGGCAGGTTCGTTAGCTTTTGCACTGAATCCGTGTGAACGTAACGTTAGGTGGATAAACATGTCCAGATGAAGGGATAAAGTTCGGCTTTATTTAAGAATCAATGCTACTCTATCTTTCTTACGAGAGTAAGAACAGTAGTAAAGCTAGTGTTATTGTTTGTGCTCCGTTATATAAGCAATTGAACAATGTACAATGACCATGTCTGTCGCATATACCATACAGCAATTATAGCTGGTGCACACGCACTGACGAGCACGAACTCAGTGGGAGGGTAACGAGGGTAATTTTAAAATAAAATAGTTTTATATTTTTAAATCGGGACCATAAAATGTTCAACCACTCATTGCATGCGGTCTGTGTTTACATACACACGCACCCTGCTCGCGCGGACAACACACGTCATCGGCGCGATCACTGAACGACAATGGCATAACAGCAGCCACCTTTTGTAGTTCCTCCTCAACCAACAACACTTGGCACAGGATTCAAAGGTAGGAAAAGAAAAACCGTATTAGAACTTGCTACGACAAAAAAAAAAACGTCTGGATAATGCAGGAGCTCAAACTAGAGTTAACATCGGTGTTGGTTTTCCACGCTGGAGACAACTACGGGACTCAAAGGGTCTGAAAACCGACGCTATGGTTGCTGTTTTTCTTTTGGAGTGGTAATATATATATGGTTTGGCTTGTTTTTGGTGGAGTTTGCTACTGTTTTGAGCTATTTAGCTAACGTGTTTATTACCTTTATGAATTAGCTCAACGCTAATAACAGCAGCTACGGTGTAACATCAACATTTTTTTTTATGTTTCCAAAGTTACGAGAAAACTGCTAAATCCACCCCTTTGGTGCTTGGATTCATAAGACCACCACCACCTGCAGCTGTTTCGACTAATTTGTCCGACCGGTAAGTGAAATATTATTATTATTATTTTTTTTTAATCTAGTAAGAAAAGGGCCTTCCTTAATTGAACCTTTAAAATGTATATCATTATATGTATTGTGCAAGGCATCTTTAGGGAGATATGCAATTTATTTGTATTTATTTTTTTCATTGCATGATCAATTGATTGATATATTTATTTAGTTTTTCTGCCCAGGCTGTGCGAGTTTGTTTTTCAAAAAAATGTGGCTTTAGGGAGCTCTGAAGGGATGTTTCATAATTTGTATTAGCTAAGCAAACAGTATAATTCAAAGTTACAAAACACTTGCTCCCACAGTATTTCATCTGATCGAATTGTTTCTTCTAGCAAAGAGCAGGAGATCAAGTCGGAGGGTTTTGGTCCTTGGAGCTCAGTTTCACTTAAACTTGAGCAAGCGCAAGAAGATAGTGATGGAAATGGCAAGTACATATTTTTCTGTGTGGCTGAATATACACTTTTGTAACAAACACCTTCTATTGAGCAAAATGCTGGTCCAGAAGACTGGTCCACATGCACACTGCAGTTAAATTCACCTTTTACTGCTTAATTCTGTTATTTACACACAGAGAATTTTTTAACTAACTCTTGAAACATGATTGTACAAATTAACAAGTGAACATAGCATCACTTCAAGAGTGCACTCTGCAAAGCAGCCTTCCAAGCATAAGCTAACCCGATTCTGTTAACGGTGGTTTGGTTAAAATCGAAGAACATGAGTATTTGTTTGCTGTAATATTACTTTTGGTCTAAAATAACATGCCAACCGCCGTTGGCGGTTGTCAATGTCAGTCATCGTAATTTCAGGATTGAGTCATGTTCTGTACACAGTTGCACACACACAATAATAACTCACTCCTGTATCTAAATGAGGTTGACGCTCCTGATTAATGATTTATCAATGAACTTTAATGAGAATCTTAACGCATCTCTCTTTCCACTCCCAGATTCATCATCTTTAAATCTGGACATAATACAAGTGAAGCAGGAAGTCCCAGTACAAGTGAAGCAGGAAGTCCCGGTACAGGTGAAGCAAGAAGTCCCGGTACAGGTGAAGCAAGAAGTCCCGGTACAGGTGAAGCAGGAAGTCCCGATACAGGTGAAGCAAGAACTCCCGATACAGGTGAAGCAAGAAGTCCCGGTACAGGTGAAGCAAGAACTCCCGATACAGGTGAAGCAAGAAGTCCCGGTACAGGTGAAGCAGGAAGACCAAGTACAGTTGAAGCTGGGAGTTCCGGTACAAGTGAAGCAGGAAGACCAAGTACAGTTGAAGCTGGAAGTCCCAGTACAGGTGAAGCAGGAAGACCTAGACGAGTCAGAGTTTTGGTGCATGCAGCAAGATCCAGAGATGTCTGGGGGTGTAGATGCTAGTCACCCAGTTCCACTTACTTTCAACAAACTCAAAGAAGAAACTGATCGTTACTGTGGAAATGGCAAGTAATCTGTAATATTTTTATATGAATTTAATGTTATTATGCTGATATGAAACGCTTATTGGATAATATTGTGACATTTAGGGTGTTCACACATGTAGTTTGGTTCTCTTGGTTCGATTTGCCTGGTCCAAAAATAAATAAATTTAGTCCTGGTCCGCTTGGCGTTCACATTGGCGTTTTAACACCGAACCTAGGAAGCATAAGAATATGTTCACAACCTGATTGGTCAGCTTTTATGATGTTTATTTTGCAATGGAGCTTATCAAACATCCAAAACTATGTTGTGTGCTTGGCTATTTTCAAAGCGTCATACTGCAAATGTTTTAAAGTACGAGGGAGTCCATTTTTGCCGAAGGCGAGAAGAAATGAGATATACATTCTCTCTGCTTACAGTGCGTCCAGAAAGTGAATACGAAAACAGACAAACTCAGTTTTATCTAACCTTGCGGTATCAATAGCGGTTCACTTTTAGTGTGATTGTGTTCGTATAAGCAGACTCCGGTACAGTCCCCATCTGAGTTCGAATAGCAGTATTCACATCATCCAAATGAAGTTGAACTAAACTCTGACATCAATCGAACCCTGGTGTGCATCAAAAGTGCTAGTGTAAAAAGCACCCTTTGGCATCACAATGTTATAATTTACATTATTATGAGATTTGCTATATATTTCAATTGTATTAAATTTATTCGTACCAATTGTTCTACAGTGGAATTGTTACCTTCGGAGGATCCTGTACAAACTCTCAAAAGTGAAGATTTGAAGACTGAGGAGGCCATTGAGGAACAGAGCATGGACCGGAAGGATCCCAAAGTCTGTTCTAATAGCATCTCAAACCAGACTGCCCACATGCAGACAAATCAAGTGTCTTCTACCACACCTCAACCTGTCGGCACAGTTTCTGAACTGGCCATGAAGGGTCAATGTGAAAATTGTCTAATTCTTGCCAAAGTCAGAGATGAACTCCAAATACAGATTGCAGTTCTTCAAAACCGAATTCGAGCCATTATTTGTACAAAAGTCTCCCAGCACTCAGTCTACTCTCCACATTGTGATCTTGATTATGGTAAGAACAACTTGCAATGCAAGTGCATTTTAATTATGATCACATGATTACTGTTACTTGGGGACTACAGTCTTAATCTTAGAAAGCGAGTGTGACTCATTTTTATTAGATTCAATTAGTTTTATAAATGAATAATTTTAATTTAATATTGGTCAATTTATCTTTTTTGGGCATACATAATTTTTATGTGTATTCTTAACCCCTTAACTGTCACCCCCCCTTTTGAGAATGCGGGTTAAATGCTCTATTCACACTTAAATGGTTGTAATTCAAGAATGCCTTGGAATATATACCCAAGTTTGGTCTTGTTTTAAAGAAAACACTCAGCAGATTATTGCTGAAGTGAAAACACTTCAAAAAATGAAAGTATGAAAAAGTTATGGAAGTTTTAATTCACAGTAAATCAAATATACTGTACTATATATTTTTTATTTTATATAAAATATATATTTTACAAAATATTTTTACTCTAAAATAACTATAAAATCAAAGCCATAAATCTAACCAAGTTATGTTCCAAATTTGAAATTGATATCACAAAAATTGAAGTTCCCATGAGATTTTGTTTAGGCGTAGTACCAAAAATAGCCACCGGGTGCCATTGAATTCCATTGAATTTAGTTGTGGACATTCTGCCTTAACAAATTAATACATTTCTGTCCAAATATGGAACCTTGAGACTCAGACCTTTCTGACAATATGTGTTTTGTCAAGATTAGAAAAGGTTTTGATCATAAATTATGAAATATAAGGATGCCCAAAAGGGGAGGAGCCTCATAAAATAAGTACCGTTTCTATGGTAACGCAACATTCAATTATAAAATGGTTTTCACAGGATGAATTCTGAGTTTATAAGCTTTCAAATGATACCTAATTTATGATAACTACTAAAATATGTGATATAATAAAAAAGGCGATAAAAAATATTATTATATTTTAGAGGATAATATATACATATATATTATAATTTTTAGAGGATAATGTTATACTATACTTTTTATTTTTTATTGAAAAATACTAGATTATATGTTTTATTATGAACTTTTAGCATAAAAACAGAAGTTTCAATGATTAAAAGTGGGTGCATCAACTTTTTGTGACAAAGGTCAGACCTCCTGTTATGACGCAGATTTTTTTAGGTGCACTCTTGTCATAAATTCATTAATTACTCCTCCTACATAATTTTTAACACAAAACAGGGGTCGAATATTTAATAAGAAGTCTTAGACCTTTCCAAAAATATATAATTTGTCATAATTAGATTAGGATTTAATAGAAATATAGTGAAGTAAAGTTAGGCGTCCCGGTACCGGGACGGTGACAGTTAAATCAGCTCATTTAGCTATAATTTTAAAATCACAGCTTCCATCATTTTAATTATAAGTATTAAAGCATTTTGCATTGCTGTAATAGGGACTGTTAATGGGCGTTTTGTGTTTTTACCTTTTGTGCAGAGAAACTTCTCAAAGGCTTCCACAAGAATTGCTTGAGTAAAAATCCACTATGTAAGGCGAGAGAAAACACTACAGAGAAGGTCAATCATGTGAGAGATTTCATTCTCTACATGACAAAAGGTTATACTCCAATCAAAACATTACTTTTTTTGGACAACATGGAGCGGATCGATGAGTGAGTACTGAAATCATTTACAATTTCTTCAAAGATTAGCATTTCATAGATTTATGATTGTTCTTTATGTAAAATTCTGAACTCAATGTCCAAGAACAGGAAACGGTGTTGTGTTATTGGACTGCTAGACTACCTTGTTTATATTTAAAATTTACACAAAATTAGCATTAATGGGATAGTTCACTTTGAAATTAATTTTTGATATTTTTTAGCTTACCTCAAGGGCATCCAACATGTAGGTGTCTTTGTTTCCACAGTATTTTCACCTCAAAGAGCATGCACAGAGAAGTCCAAATTAAACATGATTTAATGACTCGTAAAGGTAAGTACACGTTAATGTCCTAAGACACGAAATGAGCGGTTTGTGTGAGAAAACGAACAGTATTTATATAGTTTTACATGTGATCTGTGAACTGAGGGCGTGGACGCTTTGGTCTGCGCAAGCGCCGGAAGTGATATCTCGTGCATGTACGTCACTCATTGTTTACACAGAGATTTCGTAAGTTTTACCTTTCACTGTGAAGATCTAAACATATTTAGATATACTGGAAACCACAATGGAAGACTTTCGATACATCAACAGACAACGTTGATTTATTTAATTTTTTTTCCTCTTCCCCTGAGACCGCGCGAGAGATGCTTTCCGGCGCTTGCGCAGACCAAAAGCATCCGCACTTTCAGATCACTTGGACGTGGCTCTGATTACAAGAGGTAAAACGATATAAATACTGTTCATTTTCTCCCACAAACCGTTTGTTTCGTCTCTTAGGCCATCAGTGTGTACTTACATTTACGAGTCATTAAATCATGTTTAATTTGGACTTCTCTGTGCGTGCTCTTTGACGTGGACCCCAGAGACCTCCATTATATGACTGACAGACAAGAACGGTTCGACCTAAAAATATAAAAATTGAAAATACTGTGGAAACAAAGACACCTACATCTTGGATGCCCGTGAGGTAAGCTAAAACGTACCAAAAATTAATTTCAAAGCGAACTAACCCTTTAACCTTTCACTTGCCATATTTAATTATCATCTTATCTCAATAGTATTTTCTCTAATGTTCAATTTCTAAAAACAGGAAAAGGTAAAAAAAATAAATAAATGAAATGATCATTTAAAATGTTAAACTTGTCAAACCTTATTTTAAGGTGGGTGGTGACCCTTCAGAATGGTAACATGAATGTCAGACACTACTTACTGGATGTATTGGCCTTCCTGAAGTTTTTAAACCGAACAAGTCGTCCAGTCGGTCATCTCACACGACATTCAAGGAATCACATTTCAAGACACCTGAGACAAAAGCTAAAAAACATTGACACGCACAAAAAACCCCACAAATGGACTCTCAAGGACTCTGGAAACAATCCTTCTGCACCGAAGCGACGTGTAAACAAGAACACTTCTTGAGTGCAGGGCTGTGCCCTCACTGCGGGTGATGCTGACATGTCCACATGTAACATAAAATGTTTTAATTTTATATACAAAGTACTGTACATTTGATTTAAAAGTTCTTGCATTCAATTGCTGATTATTGCTGTCTAGATTTTATTTTTTGGAGGAGAAATCATTGATCATGCGGTAAATTAATTAAACTTTGCACATGGTTTCTCAGCCTTTGCTCATTGTCGTTTTTTATTTATGTACAGCACAATGCAAAAGTCTTATGCACATTAGTATTTTCACACTCAAAATAGGTTTTAAGCCAGTTCTTCATATCTATATAACTGTAAATAGCGTAATTGTAAATTTACTGTTAATACTGTAAATTTAGAACAAAAATTATTTTGGTCATTAATTGTAATAATCCAAATTGTAATAATCAGTTTTTGTATGCACATGCACAAGGAGTCTGACAACAGAATGCCTAAAAGTTTTCACAGCTCAGTAGCTTTGCAGGAAGGTTTCCTCAAGCATCTTGGAGATGTTGCCGCAGTTCTTCTGGATTGAGTGTTTCTTCATGTAATCGCAGGCAGACTTGAAGATGGTGAGTTCAGATCTCTGTGGAGCACCGGCTGCTGTCAGACTCCTCGTGCATACAAAAATCTCAATGGATTATTACAATTAATGGCAAAAGGAATAATTGGAAAGGATATTTCAGATGGACACCACAGCAAAAGATATAAATAACTGGCTTAACCTTTGTTCTAGTTATTGTGGTGAAATTACTAATGTTTACGTTTTCACAGTAATGTATATTTAGGGCTACATGTTATACAAAAATATTATATCTTATAATAATAATTTAAAACAACTAGAAGGCAATGTTGTTAATTTAAAGGAGTAGTTCACTTTTTAAATAAAAAACTTTAGCTTTTTTGATTTCGTTCGTTGAATAAACCAAATGACACGAAAAAAAGATTTGTTCAATTTGACAAACGAGTTCGAACAGGAGAGAGAGTGACGAACGGAACGCAACAGAATAGAGCAAGGCGACCATTTGAGCTTATGAAACTTTTTTTTTTTTTTTTAAATGAGCGATCGTTTTGCTTGATAAGACCCTTATCCATCGTCTGAAATTGTTTAAAGCCCTTTGAACAGTTTACACTGAAACTGTCTTTTGGACCTTGAACCGTTTGGTTCCCATTGAAGTCCATTATATGGAGAAAAATCCTGGAATGTTTTCATCAAAAACCTTCATTTCTTTTTGACTGAAGAAAGAATGACATGGACATCTTGGATGACATGGGGGTGAGTAAATTATCAGCAAATGTGTTTTTTAAAGTGAACTACTCCTTTAAGTAGTGTTTTTAACCATTTTGTTTGCACAATTTATTATTTCAGGAAATAGCTTTGGGGAATTGTGCATTTTTGGAGTAATAGAACTTAAGTAATAAGTTCATAACTTAAATTTAGGTGCTATAAAGAATGGGCAAATGTTTGAACGTGAGTAATCGGTTCTTTCTAGGTCTAGGAGAACTGTACCACCTTTGAAATGGCTTTGATTTCCAGTGATTGTTTTCTGGCTGTTTTTCCACTTTTCAGCTGATAATAAACCTTAAAGATGTTGCTTGACAACTCTTAATGGAATGGTTCTTTTGAAGAATCTTTCCTATCTGCACCTCCAACTAAATGTGAAACTAGTAAGAATAAAAGATGTGACTTTGGTTGTTTTTTTTTTTAACTCATTGACACAAGGACCTATTCTAGAATACAGATATGGTAACTAGAATATTCGGAATATTCTTAATTTCGTAGTGAAATCAATTTAGAGGGGCTATGGAAGGCTGAAATGACAGATTTTCAGGTGCTATTAGCCGTATACGACCACAAGGAGGTGCAAGATCTCTACAAAACCTCTATTATTTGCATGTAAAACATTCTGGAACTGATTTCCTTTAAACTTTAAACTTTTTTGTTTACAAACGTTAAGAAATGTATAACAAAGTTTGGCATGAAATTCTTAGTAATTAAACATGATCATATTAATCATGTGACTTCATTTGCACTATCCTCAGGGAGGAATTTCATGTAGGCTACTCCCCCCCGCCGCCCCCCCCCCCCTTTACTCATGTCATGTTATGTTGATTTGTATTAAAAACCGTTGTTTAAATTAGAAGAATGCAAAATAGATGCATTTTCACTAGTAGTCACTGTATGTTAGGAGAGATTTGCTGAGGTTGGTGAGAGATGCAGACATGGCATTTTTACAGTTTTGCTTGCTGGTCAGAATCAGTGTGTTACTGTGAACAGTGGCTCTGATGTTCATTTATGTAACCTCCGGCCTCCAAAGCACGCAAACCAGGGTCTCGCCTGATCTTGGCGGCTGACATGGATGTGTGAAGACAGGGATTGAGGCAGGAGAAGGTGCTTTATGGCAGCAGAGCCCCTCGGTCTACAAAGAGACGCTTGTACTGCTGGCCATCTTCTGTTTGCTGGCAGTGTTCGAAAGGTTTTCAGTCACACATCTGCAAGATTTGCAACATGCTGACATAAACATTCTGGTGAATGTGTGTGAACGTAAGTTACGGTATAAAAGGCGGCGATCAGCACCCTTTAGCAAGTCTGTGGGGATTTTTTTTTTTCTTTGTAAAGAGTTTCAAATAAACATTACAAAAACTGACTTTGTTGTTGTTGTTGTTGTTATTTGTCATGATGAGGAGGGGACCCGAAAGTATTTCGACCAACACAATCTCATAGCAGTTTCTTTTACATTTGTCAAATTGTTGGGATGCACCGATATGACAATTTTGGCCGATACGATAACCGATAATTATTTGTATTTGAAAGCCGATAACCGATATATTGGCCGATAAATCGAAATCCACGTTTTTAGACAATTTTTGAGAGCCTGATTATCAAAAAAAGTCTCCTCCTTAAAATCCAAGATACAAACACAATTATGATGTTCTTATTTTAATGTTGTGTATTGCCGATATGACAGACTTGCACTGCACATTTTGCACTTAAACTGGATTTTAGTTTTTCAATCGTATTTCAAGCAACTTAAAAGCATCATGTTGAACAGTGCGCATCTAAAGTGCCTCAGCTGAAGGAAATAATACATTAATCGGCTTTTAGATATCGGCTAAATGTTCTTGTTGGTCCGATAACGATAACATTAAAAATGATCATATATCGGCCGACACTGATAACATTAAAAATGATCATATATCGGCGATACCGATAATGTGGCCGATATATCGTGCATCCCTATCAAATTGGTATGGATTCTATTAACATTTTTCTTTTTTGTTAAATGTTTAACTAAACAAATGTTTGTGCTTATGGATCAGAGAAGTGATAAACTGTAAAAAAAAAAAAAAAAAAGTTGCTGCCTTAAATGAAGTACAATCAACTTTGATGTCTAAGTCATTTCAACTTAAATTACATTAAACTGACTGTTGAAAAATGAGTTGAATTTTATATAACTTGTAAAAATGTTGATAATTGCGTAACTTATTTTGATGAATTAAAGCAATGTAAAACCATGTCATAACTTATTGATCATATTTTTTAAAGTGAGGCTTTAAAAAACTGAATCAACTGAACCAATTGCCGTTTAAAAATGTTTTTTTGCGAAGCTCAGTAAAAATCCGCACTCTAGGGACATCTGCTGGATAAAATAACCACACTGAGATTAGAGCAAAAATACAACTTTTATTTAATTATAAAACTTAATAAACATTTTTATACTGCTTCATTCATAGGTTCACTTAAGATCAGGACCAGAACAAAGCCTATAGTTTCCTGAAATCATATGACTTGGTCAGTTTGAATCAAGCACTCATTCAAAAGATTTGCAAAGTCATGAACACAGTCTCATCATTTTTTGCTACCTCCTTCCACTTAATTTCATATTTTGCAATCTAATGTAATGACAGTCATACATTTTCTACACGTTGGAGCGTTTGTATATTCTTTCACTGCTCATAAAGGGAGAAAAACGGGCAAGGAAGAGCGACAGGCATACAAAGAAAAAGAGAGAGAGAAAAAACAGATGGGAATTTTGAATTTGGGTCTGTGTATGTGTGTCTTAGAGAAAGGGAGCCTCTTATTCTCTCTCAGCAGGAGCTTGGCCTAAACTTCGGCCTAGTCTCGTCTGCCCAGCAGGAGACTTTCCTGAGCTGACTGCCCAAGGGAGGGGCACCTGCCCCAGCCACAAACTCTGCAGCGCAGGGAGGGGAGTGTGAGGATGGAAAGACACTCAGGATTCCAGGAACAGGAACATGTGTTGGATTTATGGAGCACACAGGTAACACAAAACGATGCAGTGGAAAAAAAGTGAACTATTTCCCCCCCATACGTACCTCTGAGGTTGGTCTTCGGGAGCTTTCTGCTGCCTCCTTCAAAATTAGAGCTTTCTCTCCGACACGGTCGCAGTGGTTATTGTTGGAAACCTCAACCATACCAGCTCTTGGTGACTACCAATATAAACTGACAGCTTATGGATTTGCTGCCCTCCCTCATGGCAATATTTTCCACTGTTTGGGTTCGTTGGATACTAGCATATGTTTGAAGTTTATCACATGCTCAATCATTCAGACCCTCTTGAGGGAGAACAACGGAGAGGGTCTGAGTTCAAGACCCCAAAGTCTTGTTATTAAACTATCAGGCTAAGAACATCCCCCCGAAAGACTTCTTAATGGTAACTACTATTCAATTAATCTGAATCCGCAGAACATAGATGAGCATGAGAAGCATAAAATAAATAATTCACCCAAATTCAAAATTTTCATCATTTTCACTCAAAATGATCTTTCTTTTGTGAAACGCAAAAAGCTGTGATTGTGCAATAACATTTTTCTTGCAAATAAAGATTGGTTTATACTGCCAAGCTCCAGAAAAGCAATATAAAGTATCACATAAGTTGTCCATTTGACTAATGCGCTATATTCTAAGCCATACAATATTTTTGTGTGAAGAACAATAACAAATTTAAGCCATACTGATTTATGCATTTGATCCCAAGAGACTTTAATTGCATTTAAGGTACACATTTTATCAGTTCTTGCTCTTCCAGGGCATCAAACCCATGACCTTAGTGGTGCGAGCTACAGAAAGCCACTCAAAAGTTCCAAAAGTTGACGGACTGTGATTCAGCATATTTGCAAAGCTAATGAGATATTAGAGCTACGATATTAAGGAAGATGAATTACAAAGTGAAAATTCACTTTGTGAATTTTCATCAAACCCCCCCATTCAATGTAAGTCAATGGGGCCCATCAACTGTTTTGTGCCCGACATTCTTCCAAATATCTTCTTTTTTGTTCAGCAGAAGAAAGAAAATTGTTTGGAACAACTTGAGGGTGATAAGCTCAAGTGGTAAGTGGTAAGCTATCATTTTAATATAAAATAACTGACATATTAAATACAATACAAGCTTGTTTTTTTCCACAGGATTTACCCAAGTGAAAAGTGGATCATTGGGACAAACTGAAGCTGTTGTGGCAACTGTATTCTCATGCAATAGGACTGATCACACCGTCTGATCACACCGTGAGGTAGGAACATTCACATCCAGTATTATTCCTTCAAGATGCTGTAATGTTTCTCAGGTAAATGGAAACACATGCCTAGGGAAAATGAAAAGAGAGGGAGGTGCACACATCAGGTCCTCATGGAGTCCCATGTTAGATGGCGTTTTTCCAAACTACGTTGTAGTGACTGGATGGAGCTTTCAGACCAAATGAGAACATCAGTGTTTTATGATATAGCTCAATGAAACCCCAACCTCAAACATAAAAAATGTATATTTTATAGGTGATTGATCACTGTATCCAGCTTATTTATTTGCTTTATTTGTGTATTGTTGATTTTTTATTCTTAATGTTTCATCTTTAAAAACACCTGCCAAGACTACCAAGTCCCAATTACATCTCCAAGGGGCTAAAGACAGACACACACAACAAAAGTTCATGTGCGTCACAGAGCAGCAGGCAACCATAAACCAATACAGTGCTGCCATTTTAACAATACACATGAATTGTACATATTGCAAAGGCAAGGTCTGTACTTGTTTTATAATGATGCCAATAAATCACAAACTGGCATTACAAAGTTCACTAACCAAACATGAAGGTTGAAGCACACACACCATCATTGGTGTGGGTCAGTTTCAGAAAGTGCAAAAAGCTGATACAGACTCAATAAGGCTGATGTTATCCAATGAAAACACAGTCACATCCAAGCACTGCAGTACAACACACACACACACCCCATGCAAGACCCGCAAAAAAGTGAATGCTAGCAAAAGCATAGTCCAGGCCAATGCAGACACACAAACAAATACTTCCTGAATGAAAACCATATTTCATTTTTTTTTTATTTGCACAGTCTCTCTCTGGATCTTTTCTGTGTTTTTCTCTTCATTTCTAATTAATTTCTCATCCATTCTAATGCCTTTCTCCATCTCTCTGACCTTCCATCTCTTTTCTTCACTAAAAACCCACTCATCTGCTATTGTAATAAGGGCAGTACTGCTTTACAGTGTCGCGTTTCTGCAGTATCATTTAGGCAGTGTCAGGAAGTCTTCTAAAGCTTTCCAGAAGACTCATTATTTTCAAGATTTGTTAACATTTTCTTTTGTCAAATCAACTTAAATAATTTATTTAGTTGAGATAACTTATTATTTTGAGTTTCTGATGATTAAATCAATCTCCTTCATTGTATTAACTCACTTTTTCCAGTTCAATCAACTTAAAATTTTAAGGCAACCCAGGTTACTTACTTTTTTAAGTTAAACCAACATTATTTTTTTACAGTGTAGTAATCACAACATTTTTTCTTTTGTCAAATCAACTTAAATAATTGATTTAGTTGAGAACTTATTATTTTGAGTTTCTGATTATTAAAGTAATCTCCTTCATTGTATTAACTCACTTTTTTCCAGTTCAATCAACTTAAAATTTTAAGGCAACCAGGTTACTTACTTTTTTTAAGTTAAACCAACAATATTTTTTGTTCTTACATAGAATATTTCTTTATTGACAATTGCATGATATAGAAAGCACCTCTGATTTCATTTATAATTCTTTAAGCCGAGCTTTCTTGTGCAAAGTTGTTGTTCTTGCATAGAATATTTCTTTATTGACAATTGTAAGATATAATAAGCACCTCATATTTAATTTATAAATCTTTCAGCCAAGCTTTCTTGTGCAAAGCAATGCATTATTAAACAGTAAATCATAACAAATATAATACAGGTAAGCTAGAACAATTAAAACAAAATCTTTTCAAAAATACATCTTGAAGGGTCCAGGCTTGGTGCAATTTTTCAAATACAGCATGATTATTATTATTTATTTTTTTAAGAACATTTGATCTCACAATTTTAGAGATATAAATATTTCCCTAGCTGACATTTTCCACAAACATGCATAAATAGGGGCAAAGATGCACTTTTAAAAAAAATTGAGTAGATCTGAAACAATTTACAGCAGTGGATCAAAAAGTTCATCAAAGTAAGAACGGGTATTGTTTAAAATTCATGTATAACTTTTGATGAAAGGTTTTGATCCACTTCAAATGTTGGCTACTGTTTTTTTAAGAGTTGTTCAAAATTTTGTTTAAAATTGCATAATTCAATTTAATTGTGACAAAAAAAAAACAGAATCAGGTAGAATAAAAAAATGAATGACTCAAATAAGGTGCCAATAAATACACAAAGTCAGGATTGTAATAGGTCTGTTGGCAAAAAT